TGCTACTTCTTCAGAACTCAGCCCCATGATGTAGAACTTGACTTGCTTATGCCATACCACATATGACAAAATGGTCTACTAAACATAAACAAATAAAAAGATAGATAAATATTGTGAATCCAGATTGATGGTTGTTTATCTCAATTCCATTGTACTTTAATTCATTGGTATGTATGTCAGATGTAATTGACACAGACACAATGAAAATTAATGTAAGCAAGGGAAATTATTGGACTGTGTATCAGGGTTGAGCTGTCTGGGGCATGATTCTCTGAGGGCAAGCCTCTGTGTTCACACAGGTAGATAAATGGCTTACTCTGTTAAACAGGAGAGGATATCTCTAGGCATATACAATTTTGAGTTCAAAGTAACACTTCATTTTTCCAGAATTTTGCATATCATTCACAAATTCTCCAATTGGTTCTGCCTGCATTAGATCACACTGTACTCCAAGGGAATTAGGAGGCAGTCATTAGTCAGATCTGAGTCTTGCCCCACACTAAGGCTTCAGGCTTGCGATCTATTGTGAGATGAAATCAATTGGCGGAAAAGTCTAACAGATTTTCCAAAACTGTAGCTACCGTAGTCATCATAATGTGGTGCATTGAAGCAGAAAGGCCCCCATGCTACCATAAGCTTGAAAATGTTCTATCTTAGAAAGCAAACGTTCTTTTCCGTAGGTGGAACTGAAGTCTAGAAAAATGAGCTCTGTATGCTACAAACAATAAAAACATCACAGCAGGAATGGGAAAAACCCACAGTGTGGGCGTGCATGCTCTCCTGCAGCCTCAGACGCTCTTGCACTGGAATCCCATTCCCCATCTTTTGATAATTCAGCTCTGATGTTTTCAGCTGCTCATTCAGCCACATCTGCTCTTCCGCTGACCTTAAGAAGGGGTAAGGAAGCTTGCCATTGCCTTGGAATTCAAACGATCCAAAGCATTGGACCAGGCAGTATGAAATCTGAAACATAACTCTGTAAATCAAAAGCAAAGGCGTGGAAGACAATTAAAACAATGTTCCCGCCCACACTCCACTCTCACCAATAAAACAATGTAATCCTGTTCCAAAGTGATATATTTTCATAGGTAGGGCCATAGAAATCCCATAGGAAAAAAGGAACAATTCTTCCTGAAAATGAGCTCATACACAAAAAGGAACAGGCCACTAAAGGGCATAGCTCCAACTGAGGGAAAACTAGGAATCAAGTAGAGGAGAGGAAGTCAGAGGGGCAAGCACCCAGAAGGCATGGAGTCTGGGAAGATTATAAAATGGGCACATTAAAATCGGCATAGAAAGCCAGTGGAAGAGTAGGAATGGGGAGAAGAGAAGAACTCAACGCAAAAATAGAGCTTGGCCAATGAAAATGCAAATATTGACATTAAAAACTCAATGGATGACATAAATGTCATATTATAAACCTACTGGCAAGTGGAAGATGAAGTTGACAAATGGTCCAGAATGAATGTAGCACAGGCTTAAAAAATATGACAGGTTGGTTAAGAGATGTGAATGATAGCATAGAAAGGAATCCAGAAGATATCAGCAAAAAATTCAGAAGGAGAAATGAAAGGGAATGATGTGAGGCCATATTTGAAGAGACTGTGAATAATAATTTTCTAGAGGTAAAGAGGCAAATTGAAATATCACATAGTATTTACAGCTTCATAAGTGGAAAGTAATTCTATAGCCAATACATTTTAATTTTTAGTTGTTTTTAAATCCCCCTCGTGTATGTGTGTGTTTGTGTGTGTGTGTGTGCATGCTTTTGATCAGATAGTAGTTCACTAATTAGGAAGCATCAAACTCTAAGTGAAGTAATAGGACATAAGAAGAAAATGTAAAAGGCCTTTGAGGAAGTACTAAGAGGGGTGGGGGAATAAATGATTGCTTGAAGTGCAGTGAGCTGAAAGATCAGTAAAGATAAAGTGCAAATCTTAAGGGAACCAGAAAGGTAAGATTGGGTCCTTAGTATGAAGGTCACTCACAGTTAGAAATTGTCCAAGAATAGTGTCCTCATTAGGAGTAAATGAATCCCAAGAGGAGAGGACTGTCCAAGGCCTGGTGGGAAATAACCAATAGCCCAAGACCCAAATTCAACAAAAATGTAATTTAAAACTAAAAGTGAAATATACTTTCAAATATAGTTTACTATTCATATGTCATCAGTTAGAGATCTTTCAAGGGATATAATTAAGTAGAAATAAGAAACTTATCTCAGTAAGAAATGAGGAGTGGAGGACATTAAACTACGGTATTGGCAGAAACACTCTTAGATAAAATGAGAAATGACTGCTGCAGACATAATGAAGATGAATAGAGAGGGGAGAATGGGGTAGACAGCGACTCCAAATTCTGCTCCAATATTCAAAGACAATGGATGTTAGATAGCTATAGGGAGAGAGATAATGTGGACATAGTAGAGATACAGCAAAGACATACTTACTGTAGCACTCCAGATTTCACTCATCCAAACATCTCTCAAGCTGGTACAAGAGAGTCTGAGAACAGGCCACAATTCTCTATTTTTTGCAATGAAAGCCTACTGTGAAATCTTGGTATTCTCATCATTTTGAACTGTGCAAGTGGTACCACATGCTAAGAAGCTGGGCTTGTCTTCTGCCGCACCTTTTCCTAGGTAATAGAAGCTTCACATTCCTTTTAGCCCAGTTTGAAAATTTTTCCTGTTGCTTAGAGGCTCCACAGTATGCCATAGTCTAAACCCAGAAAACCCAGCCATAAGAGAATGAGATGCACTAAGCAACCTGTACACGAGGCAGCAGTAGGAGCAGAGTTCTTATAATTAACAAAAGAAATTAGTGATCCATGGGTGAGAATAGCCATGCCCGTGTGATGGGTTGCTTTTCTTCCTGGAGCCAAGCTACTTCTGATATTTAATCGTCATCTGCTTTATTAATTCACCACAGGAAATTACTGTCATTGGGACTTCAAGAGTCCTAGGATCATATGGTCTTTCTCGCACCCGGTTTGCATACAGGAACAAATACTATCCAGAGGTGTGTGTGGTACCCATGGAGACAGGTGGAAGTTGACTGGTCTGTTAGATGATTGTCTTTATCTTCATCATTCACAAACTCACAAAAAGCTACTTAAAGAGCAATATTAAGCTACACAAAGTATACAGGGAAGGGTTCTCTTATGATACTTTATTAGGGAGAAGTCACTTACATGAGAAGCCAAGAATCTGAGGTCAGTGCTCTGCTGGTCTCCCAACCTCCACCAGAACCCCAAGAGAAGAGTGTCCTCTTCCTCCTAGGTCTTTATGTCCCTGCCTTCTCCCATATATCTGTGGCCACGCCCAAATGGGTGTGCTTAGTGCTACAGGTAGGTAAGATCTCTCCCTACAGTTACTTTCCAATGAGACCTGAAATTTTGGGTTTTTAGCAACCACCACCAAATACAAAGAACTACAAATACAAAGTTTGACAAGATAAATAGAACCGGCCCTTTCTCTAATGCACAGAGCTGTGATGGTGAACTGCAGTCTTCAGTTCCATGATTCTTCTCCATTCCTCCATGATTAACCAATTCCTCCTTGATGCAGTGTCCTTTTGTCATGGGGCAAAACTATTATTGTCTCTATCTAGTGTCCTTCAGTGTCTGGTTGGGAGAATTGATAACGTTTTCTAGTTTTTGACTCTGCCATGACCAGTGACGTTCACTGATAGGAGGGTACCTGGTGGCAGATGGTAATTCATACTAGGTAGCAGGCTGTATAAGGCAAGAATAAACCATGACTTTAGCCTCCTATCAGGCAAGCTTCACCAAAACTTAAGAACTTCTAGTGACAGTGTGATGGAAAACTCTGAATGCTGAATTTTCAGTGGGATATCAGAGACTTAGAGTCTGAAGGAAGTCAGGAGTCTCATACCACAGGGGTAAAAGGTACAAACTAATAAAAAGGTAAAACATGACAGTTTCAGGAGCTCTATATTAAGACTTTTTCCTCATAAGGTGTGGTTTATTTCAAACAAACTTAAGTTTAACTTCTCATTCTATATAACCAGGAAAATATCTTTGATTTAAAGTTCCCTGTTTTGAATTTTTTTCTACAATTTTTTTCAAGGAACAAGGGACCAAATCAATATTCACCCATAGTTTTGGCCCAAATTAAAATCCCTCTTGGCCTGCAGAATATAATCTGTTCATACTACATAATGCATTTATGTAGCAGGCTTGTTATAGGTCTGACATGGGTTCTGCCTTCCTGAGGCATGTGATGCTGAGGAAGTCTAATTAAACTCTGAGAAAGAGCAGCTGTTCTGTAATAGTGGATGAACTCGGGACCCATTTTTCAGAGCCTCACTGCGAGGCCTGGCACCAGCCATTGGATGATAAATGAACTGTCCCTGAATGCCCAACTCCCGTGCTAATAGCTTTAAAATATCAGTTCTTTATGAGAAAGAAGTTGGGAACTTTGATCAATTTTTCTGTCCCAGGGGTCCACAGATACGTCATTTTTCCCACTGGTGGAATGGCAGGCAGTGTTGTGAGGCAAGGGTAGAAGTTCACTCACCATTTAGATGTTCTCTATAGGTTAACAATGTCACACCTCATATCAAAATGTAGTAGATAGGGTTCCCAGTAAATTCTTATGTGAACTGAGACATAATGAAATCCAGACGACTCTCTACTGCATTTTCCTGTTATACTGGAATTATAATGCAGCTTCATATGGTATTTACAGAGGGGTGGACTTCAAACTGGATATATGAACACAATAGCCCAGGCCAAAGGGCTTATTTTCCAAATGACAGCTAAACAGTCAAATGTGTCTAAGTGCCATGAATGTGACTGTCATATTTGAGGGTATTGATTTCAAACTTTATCTTACCATGTGTAACTTTGTTCTTTTCATATGTCTGCATTCCTATCCTCATGTGTTTGTTTCCGTGGAGATTTGAATATTACTTTTTATGTGAAAGGTGACCATTCTTCAGTCTTTCCTTGTGATGTTCATAAGAAAAAATCATGGAAGAAACTATGCAAATTATTTTATTAATAATTCTGATAAAGTTTTGGTAGAAAACTCTTGATCTTTGAACATTCCTCAGATGTAGATGGGGTGGATTTTACTTCTTGATGGAATCTGTCAGGTTTCTCATCATCCAAGTGGGAGCTTTAATATACCCAGGGAAAGACGAACCTCTTTAGATGGGAGATTGAATGAAGCTGTGGATTATATAAATAGATAAGATAAACTTTATAGGGAGTAAAACTAGAAAATCGGACTTCAAGTATGCAAACCTGGTTCCTGGGATGGGTACAAAAGGCCAGGATATTCATCACATGAGGAAGGACTGAAATTATAAAAAGCAAACTTATAGAAATGTTAAATATGAAAATCAAAATAAATTACTTAATAGATACACAAAGGACCAACTACTAGTGAGCTCAGAAATTCAGCTCTGCAGGAGAGTAAGATGCAAAATTCAACCACAGCCATCACAGATAATAATTACCTTCCTCAAAGCAACCTTCACAAGTCCAAAATAATTAGAAGACTTTTAAATAATAGATGTCTAAAATATCTACAGAGAAAATCTTACTTTTGGCAATGGACAAAATAGTCTCAAAAATCAGGATTATAGTTTGAATATAACTCCCAAATTTCATATATTGGAAACTTAATCAGCAATTCAACAATGCAGAGAAATGGGACCTTTAAAGAGTGATGAGGTCATGAGTTTCTGCTCTTATGACTATTAATGTCATTGTCACAGAAGTGGGTGACTTATCACGAGTGAGCTCAAGAGTAAGGCTGTTTTTCCCCTCGCATACACTCACCTTCCATTGCACTCTATAATGGATGACACAGCATAAGCTCCCTACCCAGTATGGGCCCTTGATCTTGGATTCAGCCTTTAGAACTGCAAGAAGCACATATATGTGACTTACTCACCCTCTGATATTCTGTTACAGCAGCACAAAATGAACTAAGATACTCAGTAATATAACAAACGAGCTTGAGTGTGTTCATTGCTCTTTCAGAGGAGCAGGGTTAAGTTCCTAGAATCCAAGTTAGGCAGCTCACACACACGTACAACTCCAATTCTAGGGTGTTCAAATACCTCTTCTTGACTCCTTGGGCACCTGTACACAATAGCACATACACATGCATACATAAACATGTCATTACTGTGAAATAGGGCAAAAAAAAAATGGATCCCCAGGGTTAAAGAACCACTGGGTCGCAGATCAGATTCTTTTGGAATCACAAACAGCATGAGAGCTGCAGAGATGGTGTCTTTTGAGTTTCAGAAAAGACACATGGGACATCCAGGAAAGAAACCCAAGTCATATGCAGAGGTAGAAGTAATGAGGTTGACCTTTGACTTAACCAGTGACATCCGATTTTAGAAGGTGGAAACACAGCACATTTTTCCTTCTAAGGGAAAGAGTGTGGAACTCAGGCAATATGTCCCTCCAACATAAAGACTACATCACTTTGAGAGTTTTAATAAAAATGGTAGGACTGTTCTGTTGCGAGGAAAAAGCTAAAGACTTAATCCACACCATTCTGAAAATAAACTGCAGCCGGGCGTTGGTGGCTCACACCTTTAATCCCAGCACTCGGAAGGCAGAGGCAGGCAGATCTCTGTGAGTTCGAGACCAGCCTGGACTACCAAGCGAGTTCCAGGACAGCCTCCAAAGCCACAGAGAAACCCTGTCTCGAAAAACCAAAAAAAAAAAAAAAAAAAAAAAAAGCTGCAAGAATTACAGAGCTAAATGCTTAGAAAAACCACAAACAGGAAGTCTTCCTGTGGGTTATTTTTTTTAATGTTGATGTCATCTGATTCAGAATCTAGAAACTAAGCTGGCAAGATGGTTCTGTGGATAAAGTTCCCACTGGACAAGCATGAGAGCCTGAGTTCAGATTCCAGAACCCAAATAAAATGTCAAAAACAGAGGGCAGATGCCTGTGGCCTTGGTGCTTAGAGTCAGGGCAGGGAGCAGAGACAGGGGGATCAATGGGCTTGCTGGTCCACTTGTCTAGTTAGCTATTTGGTGAGCTACAGGTACAGTGAAGAGACCCAGTCTCAAAACACATAAGGGAGAAAGTAATACAACAAGGTTCCCTCTGGCCTCTACATGCATATTCATGCATACACATGCATGTACATGAATATCCATTCAGCACGCATGCACACAAAAAAATTTAAAAATCCACAAGAACAGTAGAGAAAAAATAGCCACTATACCTGTGACTTTAAAAACAAAGAGCTTTAGTAGAAAATGAAGGATGGACTACAAGAAGTATCTGTAATGTCTTTGACAATATTAATATATTAAACACACAGTCAGTGTATTTAAGATATTAATGCAATAGCATCTTGATAGAATTATGAATAATGAATTTATTATTTTCTGTGTTTTGTGTACAGATATGGATATATTACTCTGCATACACATAGTCAGTGTTGCCAAGTTTGAACACAAAGGAACTCATGTTCTTTATGGCAATATTGGAATAAGTTTTAAATATGCCCAACAAAGCAAGTTTGAGAAGCCTTCCTCAAGAAAGTATCTGTTTACATCAATAAAGATATCTATACATTGCAACAGCCTGCCAGCAATAAAAATGTGAATAGCCATAGATGTTTATTGATAAAGAAGAGATTAAATATTTCATCCTATATGCAAGGTCTGAAAAAATCCAGGGTCTTTCATAAATGTATTATACAGAAAAATCTCTAAAATTTTCAAGTTACAAAATTTCTGAAAAATGTGCATTACATAATAGCATTTATACAAAAGACTGAATAGGCATATAAATACAAGTAGATGCAATAGTATGGTTTCAGGCACTACACTCTTTGCACTTATACATTGCCTTTATCTTTAATACACATAGTTATATTACTGTTATAGTTTGATAATAAAAGTGATTTAAATACCAAATACATTTTAATATGAATAAAATATCTTGCCTACTTACCTAATAGAATTTAAGATTATAGCCCTATAACCTATAGTTGGAATAATAGTTGACTCATTTTTGTTGGCAGGTTTTTGTCTACTAATGAATGAATGAGTGATTGATTGACAGATATATAATGGCGATCTCATGGTAGACAGAGGTAAAAGGTGTATAGAAGTATATGTGTTTATGTGATGAAAAGGCTGTTTATAAATGATGAGAGCAAAACCGCAGAAATGAGACACACATCTCTGCTGCCAGAACAGTTGATTGAAAATTGCAATCTTTGGCCAGCCAACCAGTCGTCTGAATGATTAGCTTGGGAATTTAATCAGTGGCTCTGAAAGAGAATGGCTCTAACCAGTCCTGTCAGAGCCCATCACTGGATCAGAGCCGGATCCAGGCCGGCAGAACATTTCACATCAGTATCCCAGAACATGAGAGCATCTGATCAAGGCAGCTCCTTTAAGATGCATTACCCAATTTCCTAGCCACATAAAAATGTTTATGAGGCATTAGATGTGTGTACCATGAACTTGTCTTAGAAAAATATGTTTATATCAACTCAGAATTTATTGCTGCCAATGGAAGATCTAAGTGCTTTGCGGGCCAGTCAGCTAATGTAGATGTGTGATGGTCCAGGATATCAAGCATTAAGATGATACGGGGCCAGGGCTTAATGAAGATTGATGCCATCCAAACATGTTTTAGCTTCCATTTGCATTTTAATCTGTGGTATTTAAACATAACCAGATATGGCCAGCTTGTATCCCCAGGATTACCTGCCATGCTCCCCTGTTTTCAGTAGCATTTTAGCATCACCATCACTACCTTGGGCCACTCTCTCATTTAACTTCTACATCCTATGCCTTGTGCCTTGTTTTATCAGCAAAGAATTCCTTCCAAGGCACACACATACACTGTGTGTGTGTGTGTGTGTGTGTGTGTCTGTAAAAGAGAGAGACAGACAGACAGACAGACAGTGTTGGCTTTGACCTCACTAAGTCAAGGTTATCCTTGAACTCTTGATTCTGATTCTCCTGCCTCTACTTCCCAAATACTGGGATTACATACATGTTCCCCATGTCTGGCTCCCTGGTCTACATATGGCAATCATTCTGTAGAGTCAAGCTCCCATCCTACCTGGCTGGCAAACATTTTCAAGAACTTTCCAGATACGGATTCATTCCCATCCCTGATCCTAGATTCATTGTGAGTTTAAGGTCATTGGATCCATTGTGAGATGATTAGATGACATTAGATGTCATTAGGTGACACCACTCACTGGATTTGGTGATCTTAGAAGATAGCAGGACATCTCTGGGAGTTTCAAGTTTTCCCCTACACACAAATTTTACTTGCTCTCAGTCTTTTCAAGTCACTGAGCTAGTATTTTGTGGGAGCTTCCCAGTATTGAGCGATGGGGATATTTAAAAAAAATTAAATTTGTTGCCCAGATTTAAAATAAAGACAACATAAAAACCCAGATTTCTGGTTTCTTTTGAGAAAAAGAAAAAAGTTAGGAAATTCAGTAAGATTGGGAGAGTACATGTAGATTTTACCTGGCAATCGTTAGCCGGTGTTAAAAGGCTTCTGTCTTTCCCCTTTAACCCAAGAACAGAGCCTGCTATTGAGCCCAGAGTTTCAGCTGCCTAGGACAATTGAGTTAGTCCAGTGAGAGAGCTGAGGTAATGTTTCCTGTTCTTAGGCCTATTTCAGGAGAAGAACAAGGATGACATTGGCTTAACATGGCCCATCTAACCCTGGTGAGATCCAAGCAGCCATCTTTAATGTTAAGCAAGAATGTGCTCTCTGATAGAAACACCCTTTAGATATTAAAAAAAAAGAAAGAGAAAAGTAAAGCCATTAAGAATTAAATGTTTTCTCTTCTACAAATCCCCACTTGTGCTCTGCAGCCTCTGGTCACACCCACTGTCCCCACTGCTCTCCACTGAACAAGTTTGTTTCTGTTTTCAAAAGTGTATTAAAGTTTTTGAGCCAAATGCAGGGATTATTTTTTAATCCCTATGAAATTGTGTGTGGATTTATGCAAGATGCTTGGCCTCTCATCAGAAACTTGTGGATTAATACAGAGAGTTTAGAGCTAGATGCAGGCAAAATTAAGTAATTGCATATCGATTTGTATAGCAATAAATTCCAATATTTCTAGTAGCTTAACAGTGAGTTCTGTTCAGAAATTTATTCTGTTTAATATTTTTATTAAGGGCTGAACTTGTGGGAAACATGGCAAGTTTGTCAGGTCAGAGCTGATATGGGTCTGAGAAGTAAATGAAATGTAGAATAAAATATCAGCATTCACCTAGCAGCAGCAAACTGGAGAAAGAGAGCACATGTGTACTACAGGGCCCTTTGGCATAATCAGTCCCTGAATTATTCATTATTGTATCATCATCGCATTTTATGCGATATTTAATCATTAATAGCCAGATTCTTTAAACATAATTTGTATGGTTTGGAAAGCACACAGTATATAGCATTTCTTAATTTTTGAAGAGGAAACGTTTTTAATGAACTATAAATCATAACTATTTTTGACCCTTAATTTGTTTTCATGATAAACTCAAGCTGGGGCCTTATCAGTTTCCCCTTAAACTGTATCATTAACAAGTGCATGTTAATTTAAAAAATCAGGCAGAATCTACCTTAGCTTCTATAACAAGAAGAATTGTGAGGCTGGTGTTGTGGATCTGTGGTTAAAGAATTTCATGTGCCACCATGTCTGACATTCTGAGTTTAAACCCTGGAGCCTACATGGTAGAAGGAAAGAACTATTTTTTACAAGTTGTCCTATAAAAACCACACATGCTCCATGGCGTGTTCACACACATATACACCCACACAATGCAAAATGACTATACAAATGTAGGACAAAGGAATTGTTTGGCACTTTTCTCTACAAGAATCACTTCTCGGGGCTAGGGAGATGGCTCAGTGGTTATGATCTCATAGGACTCTTGCAGAGGTCTTGGGTTTGGTTTCCAGTACTCTGATCCAGGTCAGCTGATGCCTCTGGGCCCCAAAGTCACTGGCACTCACATGCACATACCCCCCCCCCCCCACACCACACACACACACACACACACACA